ATGCATGGGTGGAGTTTGGGGGGGGGGGGGGGGGGGGGGGGGGGGGGCAGCAGAGGGCAGTGAAGCACAGTGGGGGCAGTGCCCCCCAAGTCACCTGAGTCAAAATTGCAATTAATTGGCAATTTGGACATCTATGCCAGTCGAAAAAAGAGATGGCTTCTCTTGCATTAGGTAAATTGTGCTCTAAGTGTTCTACCTGACTAGCTAACAGGTATTATGCACAGATTTAGCAGTTGTTTCTTTGGTCAGTTGCTTGAACGCAGTTGTTTACTATCAAGGCTCAGTAAATCAATAGTGTTGTATGGTTATAATTGTGTAGTATGCTGGCATTATGCAACTTTGCGTATTTTTTGTTGATACACTATAGGTAGACAAAATAATAGCTTATGTGTGTATCAGGTATGTGCGTTAACACACAGGGTAAACAAGATGCCCCCCCCCCCAAAAAGCAAACATCAAACATCTGCTCCCGTGCTCTTTGTGACCCAGATTCTTCTCAGAATGACCGCCAGTGACCCCTAATCACTGCCCCTCTGTATTCCCAGGCCGCTGGGACCCAAAGCCTCTCTTTTTTTTACTTCTGCACAGTCATAAGCTTATACAGCTGAATAAATGTCAACAGTTTGGTGCTGCATATGAAATTACCCACCCTGGATTAGCTCTGACCCGAGACAGAGGTGTTAAATGTCTGGGTGAAGGAAGGCTGGTAGGTTGCGGAAAGTTTGCTCAGTCGTGGATTTTGTGGTGCTGCAGAGAAGACAAATAAAATGCACTCCATCTGAGTCATGAGGCTCATTCAATCCAAAGGTTGATTGTACTGAGGCTTTAGATGCTCCTTGACGTCTACGGCCACTGCTTTCCACAGTGCTTCCAGTTTCTATGTCCCTAACTCCACCTGGTCTGTAGGGCACTAATCCAACTAAACTGTGTTGAATTATGTACCATCTGTGCTTCTACTTGAATCACCTGCACTGTCCTATACACTCCCCAGTTATGTATTTATTTGGGGAGGGGGGAGTTGTTTGGAGTTTTATTCCTATAATGCTACTAAACAACAAATATATTCTCCCCTAGGGATCAACAAAGTTATATCTTGAGGCTGGGGATCACATGACCGTATACTGGATAAGTGATTGGATGATGGATGGAAAAATCAATCTATGTAACATCAAGTTTATAAATAAAAATTAGCTCCAAGTACAAAAAAATGACTTAAGATTCAATAGCTGTCTAAACAAGGTTAATATTACCAGGTATGTAAATAAACAGGTAACAAGCGAACCCTTCAAATACAATCACCATGATGATGTCTGGATGGCTATTTAATTTTTAAAATCCTCTGAATACGGTCTATACATTAGTGCAATTTGTCACGCCAGGATCTAAAGAGAGCTCAGAGGACTTCAGGATGAGTGCTGAGTGCTCATTATGGTTATAAAAGCATCACAATATATTTTGGGGTTCATTGGTATACTGAATTAAGGCAAATAATACACAAATTAACATAAATTTAGGACCACAGTGATTCCTACATGTGGCAGTCTTCTAAAATGGTGTCAGGGGGCAGCAAGACAATCAAGGATCGTCAAATGAACCCGAGGATAATATTTAAAGATATTCAGGTCTTCTTTATTGTGACTGCTCTCCTTGTATGTCATCACAGTTTCATTGAATTATTTGTTCATAGTCATTGCAACATTGTGAACTGGACAACTTAATGAAATCAATTAGAAGCTGCACCAAAAGTGGGTATTGAAAAATAACAATGATTTTCAGATCATTGGGTCACATTTCAATTTATGTAACAAAGAATGGATTAAATTGAATGCTTTGTGCACAGGGATTTCTGGGACATGGAGTTTCTGGGACATGCAAAAAAGTGCTGGCTGTGTCTCTTTATTATTCAGGATAGTTAAGTACTGCTGCATATTTCCAGTAGCCTATTCTCAGTCTTTGATAAGTATTTAAATTTTCTACCATTTAACCCATTCGCAGCCATATTGTGTAAAGCCATTCCAATTACCTTTGTAAGGCAGTTACTATCAGCTTCCCTCGTTTATTGACGCTAACATAGATAGCTAATATATTCATACATGATATTTATATTGAACTATGCTTGTATTCATGATGAACCAATTGTCCAGTCCATTAAAAAGCTTTAGTGCTTATGAAAATGAATATTAACGCATTGGGGAGCTCCCAATCTTAAGTGCATAGGGTTAAATGATTTATGAGCATTTTTAGACAATGAATTGGAAAACTGAATGAATTCAAAAGGTATAATTTAATGACCAGCTCTAAATCTGCATTTTTTAATAGTTTGAAATTACAGTGTTAAGAGAGTCAAAGGTTGTAAGTTCCGATACGGAACTAATGAGGTCCTTAAAAATCTGAATTACAGACTCACACAGTCACATTTTCTCCTTCTGAAATCGAAGTCCATAATATTATTTAATTTGAAAAGAATCCACTAAAATGCACTTTTATATGGTATCTGCATGCATTGCATGGTATAAGAGAGAAACAGTGTTGCATCTTCTTAATGTGCATGTTTGTGTGTGTATGAATCGTGGGGCTTATACACACTTTAAATGAAGAATTATGAGGTCTTTCTCCTTCAGGGACCTCAAACGCATGCTCTAGCTGAATCTACGTGGGATAAAAATAACCACATATTCTGCGGAGGCGAGACAGACCAGTCAGCTGAGCCAAAACCCAGAGACAGACAGACCGACGTGTGGAAAGTGTTCTTCATAATAGTATCGCTGTAATATCAGAAAAGCATTTGGCACGATGCGCCATCAAGTCATGCTACGTACTAATTTAGGGATGTCATCATCACACAGGAGAAAAGAGATCCTTTATTCTTTGTTTTATAAATCTCATGAACGTGTGTATACCCTATATTTGGTTATTTCGCTAATGGACACATCAATTATGGGTCGTGTTGACATAGTCAATTTCCCCATCTGCAATAATGATTAATAGGATTTATATGTGCTAAGTGACACATCTGTTGCCGAACTCATTCCCTCTGTTTCCCTCTGTCTCTACTGCCCAATGTAGCGGTGCGCTTCAATACTGAAACCCAGCTGCTTCCGTGCGATCCCCCTCTCACATTTTCTCTTAGTTCGCTGCTCAGTCCCTTTCCCTCTCTCATTTTCACTAATCTCGCCATTATGCCCTCTCTCTCTCTCTCTTGCTCTCTCTCTCTCGCGTCTCCTCCTTTCACTTCGGCTTAGCGTCTCTCTCCCGCTTTTCTTCATCTCCGTCTCTCTCCTTCTAAGCATCTCTGCCTCCTCTACTTAGCAACAGTTTCCATGACTACATACCCCCCCCCCCCCCACAATAAGCCACTGACAATCCCTTAGTTATGTCTGATTCCTAATGCATAATTTCTCGGAAAGCATTTTCTGAAATTATTTGGTGCTAGCGCAGTTTATACAATACTATAATAGAAAACATCACATAAACAGATTACAAAAGAATCATTTCCACCCCGCTACTTGACAAATAGGCATTTATCCTTCTGTTTTAATAAAGTTGGCTGTGCATGTCAAGAAGGAATGTTTCAGTATTAGAACTATTATTAGAATATATAGCCTAAGTAAAATCAACTTAGGACTGAAAACAAACCCGATTGCGCTGAAGTATTCCTTTTTTGTTATACCAGGGATATTATTGAAAACTTAGGTAAGCTATTTGTGCACAGTATTTTTCTAATAAATTCTTCCAATAGGCCTATTAATGTATACGTTGAACGGTGTAGAGGAATTAGGGTCATACTGGTCATTGCGGCAATCAATGGTCTGTTGAACTGGAACTTGTGAGCAGAATGAAATGGACACAAGGGCTGCTTGCCTGCAAGACAAGGCGGTAGTCATGAACTGACCTGGGTACTCCGCGACAAAAGGAGAACAGAACCTTCCAGTTATCGTGCAGTTTTGCTGCAGGCTACACATGCTGCAGTTGTTTTACAGAAAACCCTCCTAACTAAAAGTAGCATCAAGAAGCGGACGGTATAGTTATTTTATGACAGAGGGTCACAGAGCGTCACTCTTCCTATCTAGGTGGTTCTCTGCAACTCTTCCCACTCAGCACTGGAGACACTGACAGGCGACGAAAGCGGTGAATCAGATTTGTTCACGGAAATGGCGGATGACTTTAACAAAAGTGCTTCTATGGTAGACCATTAGTGTGAATGTTCAAAACATTCTATAGAACTCATATAATTATCCTTCTGACCCGCTTATTTCCAGGTCGTTTTGGGTAGATTTATCTTCCAGTCCAATTAAGTACACCAAGAATAACTGTAATAGCATTATTACATTTTTTTGTTCATAAAAGCAATTAATATAATTATCCTTAAGTGTGGGCGTGCATATTAGTACATCTAACAAAGAACCATCTGGAACCAGCCTGATGAAGAGCAGGGCAGGGCAGTCATTTCCAGCACAATTAGATGTATATTCTCTTAACAGTTTAAAAACGTTCCGCACACCTTGATATAAATACGTAGTTGCATTTATAAACTGAAAGTTTCAAAAAATCAAATATTTCGTGTTAGTTCTGTTTTCATTTAGTACACAAATATGACAATGTCTTGAATGGATGGATTTTGGAACTGATGGACGGGCAGACTTCATGTAACTATATGGTAGAGATGACAAATGATATATATTTGATTTGTTTTTAAATGGTTTTACTTTCATATGAGAAACGGTTATGGAAGAATCGCGGTTTTGAATCTGAGTGTGACATGAGTAACCTTTCTCTAGTATGGACCCATCTTACAATACCTTGTCTGTGACTTTTGACTTTAATAGATTATTCCGTTATACGATGGACCTATTCCGCTAGACTGTGTTGGTTACCTGATAATATTAGTTCATCTTCTGTAGAATTTACCCATTTTAGCCACTAATTTTAGCCTCAAGGTCTTTCAAAAATGATGCAAACATGTTTAGGGGATTTCTAAATTATTTTCATTTCCATTCTGCAAGATCTTCACGCCTTTGGTGTATGTTTCTTTTTATTTAGAGTTACTCGGAAAAATGCGAATGAAATTAACGAAACAAGCAACTCTGCCATGTGCATTAACCGAATACAAACATAGATACCGGTTTTGATATTTTGTTTTGGTTGTGCTAGCGCCAAACCGTGACTGCACGACTTAAAAAATAAAACTAAATCAGGTTAATTTGCGTTAATTGATGGTCAACTTTTATGTGTGTTTCATTAGCATGTTTATAGTACATGCTGTGCTGATTGGGAATCCGGCAAGACGAAGGAGGGAATCCCCCTTCCAGCTTTCCCTGTAGAGCGAGGCAGTGAAAAGCCGGGCCATTTAGTCGCGTTCCAGCAGTGAAGAGAGGGGTCGATCCAGAGATCGTGAGAAGTCAGCGCAGTCTTCGGCTTTCACGCAGGAAGGTATCGCCTAAAACAACATGCAGGTAAATATTACATGAACAATACTAACAATGGAAATACCTGAAATGTACATGATATCAGAATTTTTAATATAAACGTTTGAATACTATGGTTCAATCCTTATTATTAGACAGCTTTTAAATAGTCTTTAAAGAAAGATTAAAATGAATCTGTATTCATTTGAATAGGTACATTACTGATAATCGACTGTCTCATTTAAAGTTCGGTTCGCTTCTTTTTTTTTTTTTTTGTTCTTTTGGCCGAGTTTCATTTACTTAAAACTGCTTTTGTGTTTATGACATCCAAAGAGCACGATAGTGCTTTGGATAGGGTTCGGTTACCTTGATTAAGGTCTGTCCTATCGTTATACATAATCCTGTTTGCATGCAATTTAAGTTCGCATCTGTTTGGAGATCCAGCATTGTAGTCCTTGTTAGGTTATATCTTTGCAACGCGTGTTATGTAGGTTATAGTTATTTAGAGATTCAATGCTGTTATTCTTATATGTTTAGCGATTTTTTTGGACACATTTCAGAAACATTCTGGGCTTCCGTGTTAGTGTCATTTGGCGCTTCCCCCCGTCTCTCATGGCGGGTGCACCGCTCCGTTCAGCGGCTGTTTCAGACGCCTAAGGAGGTCAGTATGGGCAGTCAGCCCCGAGCTGACACTCCAGCGCTTTGGTGCGTCAGGAATCGTCTCAGTGCGCGGATCCGCTTGATCCGCAGCTTCCGATGCTCCGAAGCCCACCCACTTGTTTATTCCTTCATTCCTTCAAAAGACAAATTCGTTTATGTGTAAATTATAGGTTATGAACTTCCTCGACGCATTTCTTACAGCAGCCGATATTCTAAACTGGTTGTTTTATTCTATTTTGTGATTCTTGATTCCATTCTGATTAACGTTGACTTTGCTAGTTTACACATCCAATTTCTGATTTCACTAATTACGCTCTGAATTCCAGCGGATTGTTTCAGTAGTTTAATCAAACATCTTACTTTCCTAAATAAAATGTTTTGACTTTTATTTTTTTTAACAAAACATGAACTGGTCAAATAACCTGAATAAAACAATTAAATGTAATGAATATTTACATTATATATACATTTGTACTACTTCTCATTTGAGGAGTTTACATTGTAATTAAAATGTAATTTAGACGTTTGAAGGATGATGTCTGTTTAATAGGTCTAAAAATAATTATGGTTTATTACTCAATTTGATATTTCTAACGTTAGTATCATAATCAAATGGTCCAATTAAGACTAACGATTTAGAATATAGGCCTAATGAATTAATTATCGCGGTCAAATACGTCACTCTTCATTTGTTCAATGAACTGATAAACAGTAGTTTCAGTGATGAGTAAGAAATATTTATCTTAGAAAATCAGTTTGGAACTCAAGCTGAATAAAGCGAATGAATATTATTTCATGTTGACCTAATCGTGTTCACCCAGGCCACAGCTGGAGAGATCGATGCTGGTAGGAGAAAGGGGATCAATGCACCGGTGGCTTTACCTGGTTAGTATAGTAAGCGCGAGGCGCCATCTTGACAAACATTGCCCCCGATGTGCTTTTTTATGTCTTTAAGCAGGTGGATTGTAAAGTTGTCAAAACCTGAAAAACCCTCACGTGGGATGTTCTGTTTCAGACGCTGGAGTGGATTCACAGGAAAGTGTAACTCGGTCTGTAGGTGTTCGATATTTATGGAAGGCTTTTGGTCTGTAATCACGTGATCAGAACTTTGAAATCGCTGCTATAATTATATGTATACTTATAACAGAAAAAAAACATGTTCAATATATATATATATAATCCCCCCCATATGATGTGGGGGAATATATTTCCTATCAGTTTTTCTTGACAGCTTTTCTGCTGTTTCATCACTGATTTGTCATTGATACAGCTGTTGAAAAGTGACCAGAGGAATGAACTGCTGTTGTGCCCCTAAGCCTCTGTATCAGGTCTGGCTGTGCAACAGTCACCTTTCTGTGAGCCAAGAACATAACATTAAGATGCACATTAAGTTCCATCCTACAAATCAGGAAACACATGAAATGGTGTGAAGCACTTTTTTTTCTGCTCATAGCTTTTGAACAATTGCATAAGTGACAGTGATTCAATGAAATTTTTTACATAAAATAAAAGAAGTAATTTTTGGAGATATTAAGTGCAGTGATAGACCAAACCAAAACTGCATAGCGACATTAGGCATTTAGTGACACGCTTGGAATCGTGCACAGAGGCTCGGTGAGTAGAAATGTTGCTTTGAATTCCACCCCTGCTCTCTGTGTCCGGGGTTTGCATGTCGTGTCTGTCTTTGTGCAGGTTTAGAGTCTTAGTTCGAAAAACACACAGGTGCAATGGTGTGTCTAAATTATCCTGCCCTATGTGATGGGCTTCAGGCTGACCTTGTGTTTGGACAGGCGGTTATCAAAGATGGATCAATGGAACAAGTTGTATCTGGGTTGTTTAAAGGAAATGGGACAGACTCTACATACTGGTGCAGAACTTAGCGATCATGCGTGTCGCTCCTGCTGCAGGGTGACCAAGTTTGGTCACCTGGCTGGCATGAGATTTTCAATTCGAGACAAGTCTGCACACACATTACATGTATACAAATTTTCTTACCTTGTAAATAGTCTGGAAGGTCTCCAAACTACCCCACTGCTTATGATGTAGCTAATTTTAGGTTCATAATGGAATAATATAGATTTGCCCTAAGATTTCTTGCGTGAGCATGAGAGTCTGAATGCGTGAGTGCCACTCCAGATGCGTGAGAGTTGGCAACCCTGTTGCTCTGTAACTCAGATTAAACCTCAACTGTTCCCATTTCTTCAAATATTCATTCATTCATTCATTCATTCTTTCATTCATTATTTGAATACTGACCCCTTTGAGATGTCATTTTGACACAGGGGGCTCATCCAGTCAATTAATCACATAACAATTCTGGTTCATAAAGTGGTGTATTACTGTGTGATCAGCGCGCTGGGGCCAATAGGGCGATCCGAGTGAAATGTACGTAAAGTAGGTTATGGTGTGGATGGACACATACCTCATACCCGCAGTGATGCAGCCGGGTTCGATGCATAACGCCCCCTGGGTTTGTTTGGATTTGTGAAATATGAGTCAGATGAAGTGAACAATGCCTAAAACAATTCAGTATATGCTTTTGACAGCTGCGTATTATTCAAGATTATACATCAGCAAATGTGAATATGTGAATATGCTATCTGCTGTGTAGTCACGCATATGAAAGCGTGTGCTGCGTTATTTTCTGATCGAATCCACAAGTACCTTGTTATTATCGCTTTATTGTTCCCAACTACAATTGTCTGAATGGATCGACGCGGTGGAAGCACCCGGCAGGTCAGCGGCAGGTCCCTGGGAGACAGACGAGCTCTCGTTAATAATTAGGCAGCGGCAGAGGTTAAGTGAGACCCTTGCCTCCTGGGGACAGGAAGATGGAGCAGGTTGGATGCTCGCTGTGGCTGCACACTGACCTATAGGCCCAGCGGCCCCCATCGCTATTTTTAACGGTCGCCTGTTTTGAGTTGGGAATAATGGCTTTATTGTGGACCTGCCGGCGGGATACGTTTTGAAGGTGCTACACTCTGGGCGCCGGTGCTGAAGGTGTGAATCTGTCGCTGGACGCCAGCTGCGTCTTACCTCAGTGGTGTATCATGCAGGCAATCGATGTCAGCTTGAATAAGACACCTGAAGAGGTTTTTAAATAACTTGAAGAGAGACAATCCATCAGCAGAAGAGCATTTCCCCCCCAGGAATATTAAGTGCTAGATGTTCTTTTGGAATAAACAGTTGTCAATGTGCTCTCTTTTTGAACACTAACACTATTGTGCAGAGCCGACTTCCTGAATGAACTTGGGAATGGATCTGTCCACAGCTCCCATAGTGTCCATTTAGTGTCTCCGGTGGCGCTTCTGTGTTATTGCGCTCAGTGGGGAGCATTTCCACTTTGTGCTAAGTGACGAACAGACTGTAAATCAGCACATGCAGACGAGCTCCTGGATGGAAACACACACACAAATGCTACTAAGCTTGCCAATTTATAGAGTTTTTCGTGTTTCTTTTTCAACACAAGTTACGATTATCATGATTGATTGATATGGGAGGCTGATATAAAATGCATTGTCCAGTTTTGTGCTGTTTGCCGTAAAGTGGTACATTTCAGAATTTTATTGTAGGCAGAACATCTCTGGCAGTGGGATGAGACCCTCTGCATTTATTGGCCAGTTCTGGAACACTGTCATGTGACCTGAAGTCAGCTTGTCTGAACTTCCTCATTTCTTCCCTGTTATTTGGTTTGCGTGGGATCATTACCTTAACACGTATTTTCCTATTGGTAGTAGGCACCTTGCAGCACTTCCAAAGTAGCTTACATTGCAGTGGTGGAATGTAACGAAGTATTTGTACTTCGTTACTGTACTTAAGTACATTTTTACGTATCTGTACTTTACTTAAGTAAAAATAATAATGCATACTTTTTATTTTACTCCATTACATTTTGCGGCAATTATCTGTACTTTCTACTCCACTACATTTCTACAATTTATGCCGTTAGTCGTTACATTTTATGAACACAATTTCCTCAGAATCTTGCATGAAAAAATAGTTAGCCTATTGCGTTCTGGTGTTGTCTGCCATTTCCTACCAATCAGGTGGCTTCATTAGCTCCAATGAGGGCAGAGCACGCCAGTTAGTCAGTTAGCAGCACGAGCTGGTAGACTGGCTTGATTTCAAGAAGACGAGACATTCAACATGGACCCAGAGCCAATACACATATACTGTTTAGTTGCTTGTAATTATTACGAGCAATGACATTGGTAGAGGCGTAAGTCAGTATATCTACTATTCTTTTACAAAATGGCACACCCCAAACGTTGAGACAAACCATTGTATGAGTACTTTTACTTAAAAAAATACTTTAAAGTAAACTTAAAAGTAAGTACTTAGTACTTTCACTTAAGTAAGATTGTTGATGTAGCACTTCTACTTTTACTTGAGTACATATTTTGCAGGATATTTGTACTTTTACTTAAGTACTAAGCTTCAGTACTTCCTCCACCACTGTTACATTGTGGAAATTGAATTTACTAACATTTGGCCACGTTTGGTTCCTTGACCTCCCAATGCTTCGATTCCGTTAAATATGAGATGCGACAGGATGCGTGTACGCAAGATGGGACCTGACACAACAGCATGCTGACGCTCAGGTGGCCCAGACCCCCTAAACAGTTTCACATGAGCACGCGGAGCAGCAGGCCGCCCACTTGCAGATGCTTGGTGACGACACGTAGGCCTCACCTTGAAGGTGCATGCGTTAGCATAGTCTCACGGTAACACACGCACGTGATCATTATGGCACGTTTACAGCAGTTGCTATTGGGATGCGGTTCGAGTGCTTTGTGGGTCTGCTTCCCTTTTTCGTGTTTCTCCTCCTTTTGCCTGTATTCTTTTCCCGGATGCGGCCTGTACAATAGACTGTGACATTCTGGTCATGTTTCTTTCTCGTCTTGATCTCCTAACACTGCTGAGAACTCCTTTTACATTTAATGCCTGACTGTAAGCAGGACTTCAAAGCAGGTTAAAGAGTCAGCTGGTAGCCCATTGGTCACTCACCCCCGTTTCCCCGGTTGCCTGGTAGCCCATTGGTCACTCACCCCCGTTTCCCCGGTTGCCTGGTAGCCCATTGGTCACTCACCCCCGTTTCCCCGGTTGCCTGGTAGCCCATTGGTCACTCACCCCCGTTTCCCCGGTTGCCTGGTAGCCCATTGGTCACTCACCCCCCGTTTCCCCGGTTGCCTGGTAGCCCATCCACCACCCCCTTCCTCTCCCCTACCTGCTGTTTGCCGCTCACACCCATTTCCCCAGCCCGCCTCTCACCCTATCACCCTCTCGCTCTCGCCACTTCAGTTGTCTCCCTCGTCTCCCCTTCCCGCCACTCGCCCCCATCTCCTCAGTTGGTCTGACAAGATTGTTGTCTGTGATATGACTCACCCGTGGGATCCGTCGCTCTGTGGCTGGAGCCGCCTGCTGCGTCTGGGGGGTTTGGGATTACAGTATGTACAGTGCAGTGAGTCAGGGGCCCTTGGAGTGGAGCTGACAGTATCTCTGCATGCATCACTCTGCCTCTGTGCCATGTTTATGAGCGCGCGTGCCATCGGGTGTTTTCAGACAGTTAACCCTCATGCAGTCAGCTTCTCTTCCAATGTCCCCCCCCCCCCCCGGCAGCGAGGCCAGGAGTATGTGGCTAGCAGTGCCATGAGCATCTGGGGCCTTTTACCCGCTGATGAAATGGGGGGGGGGCATTGATAATGGGAGTCTGGAGCTGGGTGGATGAGCCCTGTCCTGTGGTGGGGAGAGCAGGTTTTTAGTCCACCCCCGTTTCCCTTTCTGACAGGGTGGGGTTTGACAGAGAAGTAAATCGGCATGGGCATGGGGGAGGGGGCGTTATTATTATATCATTGCTGAGTGTGTATTTTTATCAAATGTGACATGCATTTTTCAAAAATCCATTTCTAGCACTCGTCATTTTCCCAGAACTTCCGCATCAAAAGCACAGGGATGGTAAAACATTGTGGGATGTTTTGAGATGCCTGGCAACCATCACAGTACCAGTCTGTGTTTTGAAATACGCTGGTGCCTGCTGTCCTGAGTTGGGGGGAGGACAGGCACAGTCTGAAATACACCCAGGGATATTTTGGTGTTTTGGTCTTTTCCTGATGTTTTTTTTTTTTTTGCCGCCCTCTTTTTTTGACCAACAAAATCATGCCCCCCCCCCCAGTGCCATGTAGGGGGCGGATAAGACCCTGGATCCCCACTCTCGCTGTCCCTGTGGCGGATAATGTCCCGGAATTGTGACTTTCAGCTATTCAGTGGCAGTCATTTTACCCGGCAAGAGGTTTCACTGCTGTAACATTATACCAACATCGTACCGGGGTACATGGTATTTTGGCGGAATTGAAAAAAACAACACTATTCTGAGCGGGTATTTCCAAACAAAAATACCATGGTAATACCACAATACCACCCAAGTCTAGCCAACACTCCCCCACCCCCAGTTGTCCATCATCCACCTTCCTGAAATCTATGTCTAAGGTGGGATGTCTGCTGTGGGCACGATCTTTGGGTTAAAGCAACGTCAGAGGGAGCAGGACAGGCTGACCAAGACCATTTCTTAGGCAATAACGACAAGTAATTTACTCTGTGTTAAGGGCAGAGAAAGGTATGAGGCATATAATTCATACGTATGTACTTCCCATAGACCACAGTGCCAGCATAATTCAACACAATAAGTTTAGCAGCCGACAATACATGACTATAAATAACAGGAAATAGCACCACCATTGACAAACACTTAGCGTCTACATGTTAAAGATGTGCATTGGAGGTAGAACCTGGGGAATTAGAGCATCAGTACCTTCATCGTAGCAGCTTTCGGCGCGTAATTATCTGCTGGTGAGGATCCTAAATACCTGCAGGTAAAAACCGTCCTTGAAACTTTTGGCCCAAATGCTTAGGATCTGCTTAAGGTCTGATTCCATCTGGCAGAAGGGAGGTGGAAGTGGCCAGTGTAGAGTCACTGGAGTCCAACAACGTTGAATATTTGACTGGCCCATATATAGCACCGCTTCTGGGCGGAAACGAAAACCTCCACACCGAGGGTGAATCAGCAGAAGCTGTGGAAGGCCGGCTGGGTCCATGGCATGCAGCAGTCACGGTCCTGTAATGATGGCGAGAGGCTGCAGTGTGGGTTTTACACTTGGGGGGTGGGTGGGCCACCTGTATTCTGACCCAAGCCATGGATACACACCCCGACACATATTAACACCAGACTAATCCACTTAAAGATCCATTAAGACCCCTCTAATAACACACAAACAGTATAATCGCATTCCCACGCACTCACGCTTGCAGAAGGCATTTATGCCACAGAGTTATTTCAGCCATTAGAGGTGCCGGGGCAGATGTGTCGCCGGGCGGCTGCCAGTTGACCCCATTCCTCGCCCCGGCCCTCTGCACTCGCTCTCCATAGCGACCGTTTTCACCACTGCGGGCCGTTCGGACAGCCTTCCGTCTGACGTGTCCATCGGCGGGTTCTTCTCAGACTCGCATCCAATCACGTAGAGGGCAAGTTTTTCACACCTACTTTGGAGGGAGGAAAATCTAAGAAAAAGGATTATAGAAATAATTCTTTAGAAAAACAATAAACAAATCTCTATGTGACACCTCCTCACACCTGAAATGTCCCGATCTGTGCTGACATTCCCCAGCTCGGGCGTCTCCCGTTGGACCTTCATGCGCCTGTCCAGCAAAGACTCGCTGCCACCAGCCCACAACCATGTCACCTGCGATGCCGCCAAACCCCCCCCAAGAGGCCCTGCCCACGCCAAGCCAGCCAAACATAAATCACAGAAACAGCTTTTATTCTCGCTGCATAATTGTTGCTATAATGAATGAATGAGACTGTATCTGCTAATATATTTTAGTTGGTAGTAAATTGTTATGCTCTGGTAACACATCTAACATTGCTGCTTAGTTATTAGTTTTATTTTTGATGAATGCTTATTTTAATTACGTTTTAAAAGATCTTAGAGGTTGGCTGCTTTGTTTAATTAGATGTGTGGACGTTTAAAGCAGGCTGGGGCGATGGCTTAGTTGGTAGTGCTGTTGTCGCACATCTTTGGGGATGAGTGTTCTAACCCCCCCCTCTCTTGTGTGTGGAGAGGGGGGTCATATATATATATATATATATATATATATATATATATATATATATATATATATATATATATATATATATATATA